ATATATACATATATATATATATATATATACACATATATACACACATATATATATATATATATATATATATATATATATATATATATATATATATATATATGTGAGCAAGATCACACTCTTAGCAGTGCGATATGGCTGTATATCAGCACTGGTGGGAGGCGTGCACTGGCACAAGGCCGCAGGCAGTGACCAATCACACACACACATTCACACACAGGCTTAGACACAGACACGCACACACTGTCATGCGCTCGAGACAGCGGGTCCAGGCAGTCAGCGGGTCAGTAGACTGCTTCAGCCTTTCACTTTCACACTTGTACTTGGTAATTTTAGCGAACACCTCAGATACTGTTGGCTGGTTTCTGTTGGTTGTGCGTCTTTTTTACCGACGCCATTATAAGGACACAGATCACTGCCTATTCACGAGTCCCGAAAAAGAAAAAGTGATTGACAGGTGGTAATTATGTGTGTAACTTATCTTTCTTTATTTACTGTATGATTTGGTTATAATTTTGTTTTATTTTTATTTTTTAAATCGAAAATCCAATTGAACCGTGACTTTAGAATCGAAAATCCAATCGAATCGAGGATTTGGAGGATCGAGACACCCTTAATTATTAGGGTATTATTAGTAACCCTAATCGTTAGTAAAATAACCAGCCTTCTGGCCAAGCCTGATACTTTCCTGCAGGTTTGATGCAGACTAAACTAAGACTGTCTGAGGCCAGTTTTACGTAATAACCCCTTACCAAATCTCACTGTGATGAGATGGAGAAAGTTTAAAACAATGTCCGCTTATATGCTTCAGCGCCAAAACACAAACTGGTCTGTTAATGAAAATGTTAATATATATAAAATGGCATTGAAATATTCACTAAATCATTTTCTGGTAATGACAATTTAAATTGTGCCTGTCAGTTACAGTTTTATTAATTTAATTAACTTCTTTGACCACAATAAGCCAGGCTTTTCGCAGCATTAAAAGTATTCCCCTCAGAGGAATAAACTCAGTCGGAAGGATGAGAGAACAGAAACTCATTGTGAGAAATTTTACGGAGCGACACATGTTGCGTCTGCACAGCTCGTGCGTGAATGAAGTGCTTGACACATCACTGAGACACAGCGCTCAGCCCTCCGCTATCTGCGGACAACAGCAGCACAAAGGAGGGAAATCAGTGTGTTGAGGATCTGTCCAATGTATTATTGAGCCTTTTCTAATTTTAATGTTTCAGGTAGGCCTACTGTTTGTGTGAAGAGCAGGTAATAACCCTCTCTACTCCAGTGTTGCGAATGCAATCTGCTGATCTAACAGACACCGCGCAACATGATATAAAAAGAGCAATGAACTCCTTGGTGCAGGTCAAAATAAACCCATTTAATGCACAACTGAATGCATTTCTCCACTGATTATTTAAACCAGGGGTGGGCAAACTCGGTCCTGGAGGGCCGGTGTCCTGCACAGTTTAGCTCCTACTCTAATCAAACATACCTGCTTAAAGATTCTAGTGATCTTGAAGACACTGATTAGCTTGTTCAGTTGTGTTTGACTAGTGTTGGAACAAAACTCTGCAGGACACCGGCCCTCCAGGACCGAGTTTGCCCATCCCTGATTTAAACTAACAGGAACAAATAGTCTTGGAGAGTGTTTTGTGTTGTCATGACCAAACATGGCACGTAGTTTGAATTGTGAATGAATGGAGAATCATACCCGATCTAGCAGAAACATGCAGTATCGAACCGATATCCGATCCAAATATCGGCATCTGTGCATCCCTAGTCATTTCTGTTGAGCAGGTGAACACAATGGCCAATCAGTGCTGTTTAAGAACATGCGCATGTGTTAGCAGGAAATGAGAGTTTTTTTAAATTTCAGTATCGTGACAACACTAGTATGTAGAAGAGATTCAGCAGAATTCTTGGGTGACGTTTAATCAACAATCCCATTAGCAGTGTTTGGATGAAGATAATTTATAACCACAGTCTAAATCAGGGGTTTTTAAACTCTGGGTCGCGACCCACAGTGAACAAAGGTGGGGTCGCGCAACGTCACATAGCTGCAGCTAATTTACATTGCGGTGAATCAAAACCAGCACGATAGACGGCAATAACTCAAAAATCTCTTACCCTAAAAATATCTAAAGTGTCTTTCCTACAAAAAGACAAAGCTGGTTATGTTTCACAGCTGTCTTTTTCTTTTTTTCGCTCGACATTACGAGCACTGCTGCGTTTGAGCCCTAGCAATCTGCGTTTAGCCGGTAGAGCTCGCGCTTGAGCAAAGCTCTCAGTAAGGGACCGTCGACAAAGTGCTTATTTTTTTCCGTGTTTTTTTTTTTTCTTGTTTTTTTTCTCTTGTTTTTTTGCTCCGTCCTGCGTGTTTTATTTTAAACGCAACTAAATGAGCACAAACAGTTACTAAAGTAGTCGAATGCTTTCATTATAGATCTGCATTCTTACAGTGACACCTCTGTTATCAAACAAAACACAATGAGAGATTGATTTGCTGCTCTTCACTAAATAACTCTAGTAACTTTAACCAATATGTGAATACAATTAAAAGTGAAGTAGGTTTTATAACTTTATTAAATTTCTGGATAGGACATTGATTTTAATAGGCTAAACCTTTTATTGTATTGTCAATATTTTCTAATGTTTGCTATGTATTCTATCATTTGAAGCTATTTGTTGTCCCGTATTTTTTACATCCCAACGTTGACAGATTGCTAATCAATAAATAGCTATAGTGCTATCTGTTAGTTTTAACGTCAGCTAATGTTATGGAAGGGCATAGATGTTATGGAAAATAGTAATAGTAATATAACTACCCTCATCATTCCTTCCTCAAGCAAATGTGTAAATATTAGATCTATTCAGCAGTAATGTTAATTGCATTGGCATGTTTATCTGACGTTTTCCCAGCTTGTAGTAGTTAATCAAAAAGCTATTTAGTTTCTTATGACTACACTAGCAGTGGAATATACTGCGATGTGACGGGGCTTGATCATAATCCAGGGGCTTGATCAAAGGTTGAACGGAGTGAGGCCACCGCGTAAGTGGATACACCTGCGGTGCGCACCTGCCTCGAATCCCACGGAAGGAGCTCTGGACTATAAAAGGAGGAACGATGGCAGAGGAAGCCGAGAGAGGACCGGACCCGGACATATTTTACTTTTGCTTTCAGTTTGACGGCAGTCTCCGTGAGCGTTTGTTTTGGTTTAGACGGCAGCCTCCATGAGGAGCTGCCATCACTGTTATTAATAAATCATTTAAAAACTGCGTCGGTTCTCTGTCTCCTTCTTCCTGGCGGCCAAAGGGCCGTGAACTTTATTACAATCATATTCTCTTCTGAAAAAAGAAGAGTATCTTTTTCAACAAAAAAAATGATCAGAGTTACAGCCAGCATCCCACAAAAAGCACCTAATTTTGTCCATATCAAATCGCAAAATCAAAAAGCCACACACCGTATATTTTTGACTGCTTTGAATGAATACAATTGTTTTTACCAATTTTTACATATTAAAATATTATGGTGCGTCTTGAGATTGAACTACTTGCCGAGGTGGGTCCCGGAATAAAAAAGTTTGGGAATCCCGGGTCTAAATCATATACAAACAGTCTGATATTTAGTGTGTTTGCTGTCGTCACACGTCCTAAATAAAATGTTGCAAACATCAAATTCATCAAAAAAGTTTGAAAAATGTATATTTTGTTTTTGTTTGAATTAAACATCCAGCTTGAACTGAAGCAGCAATGTGAACGACGATCATCATGTTGTAAACTCAGCTGTTTATTCATACATGTGTGTGTGTGTGTGTTTTCAGCATCCAGCGAGCAGCCGTGTGGGTTCTGGATCATTATTACACTGATTTCCCAGTCTACAATCCTGCTTTACTCAACCTGCCCAAATCCATCCTGTCCAAGAAGATGTCTGGATTCAAGGTCTACTCTCTCGGAGAAGGTACAAAAAAAAAACAAGATTATTTTGCATGTTTTAAGAAAAAGCTCACTTAACACAAACTACAAAACATTTTGTTTTGCTTGTTTTATAAAATGCTTCTTGATTAGTAGAATATTGAGATATTTGAGCTAAAAACAGGATAACTTTAGGTAAGGTAAACATTGGTTGCATCTGTCAATCAAGTGGCCACTCCCCTTAATTATGCAGAATATTGAGGCTTAATATAAATGAAACAGAAGAGATACAAATAAATCCACCTCCCTCACAGTTATCATGAAGGGTAATATTAGCTATATACACCAAACTATGTTTGTACCAGGCTGTGAACACATTATTTTACTGTAATATTGGGCATTTTAACATGGGAGTCAATGGAGAGTTGCTCGTTCACTGACCTCTAGTGGCCACTCAATGAACTGCAGGCTCAGGCACTTGAGAAAATAAACAAACGCATTAATTACAGTGTTTATTCATCTGTGTTGACATTAGATAATGCACTGGGAGTTAATAAGAACTAGCAATGAACATCTTCATTTTTTTAGCTAATGTAAACAAGCACATCTCTGTATTTTAATGATGCATGAGCAAATATTGAACTCTGATTTATAAGTACTGTATTATTTATGTCAGTAAATAAATGAACTCACGTTAACTAATGGAACTACTTGCTGTAATGTGTGACCTGAAACTCTTTGTATTTCGCTCTAAATATAATAATAATAGTAATAAACTAGACTTTCTGATGATTTTATTTGCTCTAATTTTATTTATAATAATGATTATAATGTTTATTGCTTAAAGAGACAGTGCACACAGAAAGGAAAAATGGACTCGCTATTTACTAGCACTCAAACTAAGTTTCTTCTGTCGAACACAAATGAAGATATTTTAAATAATGTTATCTAAAAGCATGTCGAAACCGAGTGTATATGGAGGTGATTTATGTAATGTGTTATTATTATCCACTGCTGGCCTCTCCGTATGTTATATAATGATATTTGTTGAGTGTCTGTGAGTTTGCACTGACTCTAATTGAATTGTTTTTGTCCTCAGAGAACAGCACTAATAACTCGACGGGTCAGTCTCGAGCCATGATCGCCGCCGCCGCCCGCAGACGGGACAACTCTCATAATGAATATTACTACGAGGAGGCTGAGATGGACCGCAGGGTCCGCAAGCGCAAAGCCAGGTCTGACAAACACACACACATATGAGATCATTCATTAAATACAGCTCCTGATGAAGTCAGAATATGTAGTCAAAGTTAAAATGATTCGCCGTTCTGTCAATTTCTTTTATAAATATTTTCCCAAATGATGTTCAACAGAGCCTGGGATTTTTGCACAGTATTTCCCATTATATTGCTTTCTTCTGGAGGAAGTCTTATTTGTTTTATTTGTGTTGGATAGTCTACAGAACAAACCACTGTTATACAATAACTTGCCTAATTACCATAACTTTAAACTAATTACCCTAGTTAAGCCTCTAAGGGTGCGTTCACACCTGTGAATTGATTCAGTTGTTCCGAAACAGAGATTACAATTGTTACATTGTTGCTCTTTGCTCTTGGAGCGGTTCGCTTTCACACTGCAAAGTTTCTAATCGGACCAAAAGAGCTAAAACAAGTCACGTGTGAGTAAACTCTCCTTACATTGGTTGGTCAGAGTGTCAGGGTTTATTTTGCAGCGTCCCGCTCAGCTGTCAGGAGAGGTGGTGGTTTGGTGGTGATTGACAGTGTAGTGGCTATTTTCCTCTAAGGAGGCTCTCTCAGTGGTCAAGAAACAAAGTCTTACCCGGGATGTCTTTACAAGTTTTATTCTTTATAAAGAAGATCACAGTCATACAGCAACAACAGTTTCTGCTGAGTGAGATACTAAAGCAAAGTGTGTTCCCCTTTTTATCTAGTTTGTACTGCTTACGAGGTCAACTCCCAATAAGGCCTCATCTACAATTACGTCAGGCGTCTTCTGCTGTTCGTGCGATATGCTCATAACAACCACACATCCTTCTTAGGATAATGAAAAAGCTTTCACCTAAAGACATATAGTTATCTATAAAAATGTACACATAGGTTTTATGATGAACATATGGAGAACACAGATACACACACATGTAATAATGAGTCTTAGACAAGTTTCTAACATATAAAGCTCATCTAAAAATGAATTTCCATTACAACAGGGTGTGCGCGCGCGACATGTCTGAGGAGAGATGCTGTGGGGAAGGGTGAGAAGGGTGCGCGATGATGCCTATTTGAGGACTGGGAGGGAGACGTGAGATTACCGGGAGATCATCACTCGTTTGCGGGCATCCGGAGACTCCCGAAACTTCCTGCCCTACTCTTAATTCTCTCTTTATATAGCCATAAGCCTATTACATATCCATAAAACACTGTGATATAACCGCGCTCGGATCGGATCGCTTTCTCACTGCAATCGAACCGCTCCAGGGTTCGTTTCAATCGAGCCGAGACCACCTCATTCAAGCGATCTCGGAGCGATTTCTTTGGCGCGGAACAGAGCGCGATTGCCCTGTTCACATATGCCAAACGAACCGCGCTAACTGGGCAGACGAGACACGTTCCGAAACAAAGGTAAAGGTGTGTAAGCACCCTAAATGTCACTTTAGGCTGTATAGAAGTGTCTTGAAGAATATCTAGTCTAATATTATTTACTGTCATCATGGCAAAGATCAAATAAATCAGTTATTAGAGATAAGTTATTAAACTATTGTGTGTAGAAATGTGTTGAAAAAAATTGGGGACAATTATAAAATAGTTAACATTTGAAGAGGAGGCCTAATAATTCTAATTTCAACTATATATAATAAATAAACACAGCTCCAGATGTTACAGTGTTTATTGCTGTTTATCAGCACTGTGCTACAGTATTCGTTAACAAAGAGTTGTACACATTATACAATTCACTCTATGCGCAAAAGCATGTTTATTATAAACTACTATTGTCTTCTCCTCATGTGGATGTCTTCCAGACATCCTGAAATAAAAGATAAAGCATACAAAAGGGTGGACGCTTCATTCACATTATTATTGATTTATTTATTTTTGTAAGGGGGAAAAGTGCTCCACAATAATAACCGTCGAGTTTTTTTTAATTAGTTGATGAATTTACCATTAACAAACATACACCGCTGCTGCGCATATAGACGTTTACGTTACGGTTGTTTATTCTGCCGAAACGCCAGTAAAGACTTTGACTTTTGCAAAACAAGACAGATTTCATTGCAGCGATGACATGACAGGACACGTAATATTAATTCTCCTTTATTTTGTAAGTGTGGCAGTGTTTGTATTTGATATTTATATAACACATTAACATAAAATACTCATAGCTAGACCTGTATATGATCTTCATTAGTGCTGTCAAATGAGTGATTGCATTCAAAAAAAAGTTTGTACACATGAATACACTGAATGAATGTTTAAAGGTTCAGGACACCCTGGAGAACTTTTTTTTTTATATTAACAGATGTGTTAATATATAGTGTTGAGCATCAGTTAAGACAATGTTAGCACCTGTCAGCTTTAATTGTGGGGAAAACTGGATATTTTTGAGCTTTTGTCTGCTAATTTCAGCTTCCGGGTTAAAAATGATTTTGGGGCGGGATCAAAATCGGCGACGTAGCGAAGTACCGCAAGTGCAATGATGACGTGTCGGTTTCTCATTATTATTCATAGCGGACTTTCCTTATCCTATGAGAAGAGCCGGCTGCTTAACTATTCATGAGACCTGCCAGACCTGCCAGAGTCAAGCCCGAGCTGTGAGACACAGACCGACAGTATTTAGCCGTTCATGAAGGCTCATATGCGTTTGTTTCCATGAGCCACAGGGTTTGTTACATGTTTTCCCCCGCGATCTTGTCAGGGCCGATCATACAGCAAAGCTGTGTGTGTGCTGCTAGCATTTTTGTCAGGAGAGCAGCACGAGAATTAGAGAATGGTAGACGCTGTCTTTAATCAGGAGTTCGTTCACATTCAGACACATCACTGTGCTGCTGTGTTCGCCTTAATCCTCCAGATTACCAGCAGGGTTAACGGTTAAAATAGGAGACCTGCTGCACTGAGTCTGCTGGATACGGGGATTGAGGGAGAAGTCCTCATTTATAGGGTTTACATGAACACACTTATCTTTATAATGATATAAATTGTGGTTGTCTGTATATGAAATTACGAATAACAAATGTAGCAGGGCATTAAATCACTGTTCATTTCCATGCATTTTAACTTTGTAAACTATAAACGCATGCGTCTCCTCACGGTTTGTCTCATTTTGTGAGCTAAATGACAACAACAGTTGTTCACTTACGTTCTCCCCTGCTGGCCACGCCCAGTCCTGCCCGATGCTCGCGGAGCTCCACCCCCATTAATCATGCATCTTTTGAAAAAATTCTGAAGTAGACTTTAACCGAAAGTGGGGGGTGTCATGGCCCTGTAATACATGCCGCCTTTTCCTCCGTTTTTCAGCCAGTTTATTAAACTTTCCCCCCCTTTATAAGCAAAAACGTTTAGAAGTCCATAAAAACTGAATTAAACAGTTATAAACAACATAAGACAGAAATATGCTCATGTACTGATAGTGATTTTTTTTTTTTTTTTTTTTAATTATTATTATTATTTTTTGGGGGGGGGTTTTCACCTTTATTTTGACAGGACGGTGGAGATTTTAGAGACAGGAAAGTATGGGGAGCAGAGATAGGGGAAGGGTCGGTAAAGGATCTCGAGCCGGTAATCAAACTAGGGGTCACCATGAACACCTCAGTGCTGTCGCACACTAACCACAATGCTATTGGCGCCAACCTGATAGCTATTCTTATATAGAAGACTTCCTGCCCTCAATTTGAATATTGCGCATCATCAATGGTAACCTACAGGCTGTTTTTATTTTTAAAAGAGGGAGGAGCTACTATATGCCCCGCCCTCTCTTCATGTGTCAATCGAGATGACGTCAAACATCTTATAACATGTCAAAGCACGTCACAGGAGCTTTAATGATGTTTGTGCTCTACTGTGAGTGTGTGTGTGTTTACTGTTGTGTTCGTGGGCTCAGGCTGGTGGTGGCGGTGGAGGAGGCCTTCACACACATTAAGAGGCTGCAGGACGATGAGGCGGCGGCGTCCCCCAAACACCCACGAGAGGTCATGGACCCCCGAGAGGCGGCGCAGGCCATCTTCGCCCCGATGGCTCGAGCCATGCAGAAGTACCTGCGCACCACACGCCAGCAGCCCTACCACAGCATGGAGAGCATCATCTCACACCTGCAGTTCTGCATCACGCACAACATGACGCCCAAGGTGAGCAAAACACACACTCAAACGATATCCCAGTGGGGACTTATAGATGTAAGGATGTTTTTACTATTGAATCTCTAGTCTGTAGACCAGGGGTCACCAACCCTGTTCCCGGAGAGCTTCCTTCCTGCACATTTCAGTTGCAACCCTGACCAAACACACCTGTTTGTAATTATCAAGTGTTGCTTCAGGTACTATTAATTGGTTCAGGTGTGTTTGATCAGGGCTGGGAATGAATTCTGCAGGAAGGTGGCTCTCCAGGAACAGGGTTGGTGACCCCTGCTCTAGACTTAAGCCTGGTTTATACTTCTGCGTCAACTGACCGGCGTAACCCAAGGCGCATGCAACGCGCGTAGCTGTGCGTTTATACTTCTGCGCGCTGTCTCTGTGGGTCTGCATTAACACTTCCGAAACGCTAGTTGGCAGTGATGTGTAAATGTTCCTCTGTGTCGAGTTTCTTCGCTGTTGTTTTGCTTTTTCTGAACACTTCCGGGATGTACAAGTGGCTCAAACTCGCTCATTTTGAGGCTGGAACCGGCGGACGTGCAACAACTTTAACTATGAGGTAAACACAAAACAAAACTTTCCATCCGGAGCTCCTTCAGGGACTCCACATTTGTAAAACAATCGCTCGCGCGGCTCTCGGTCCCGCCCAGACTCGTCAGCGATACCAAGCTGACCAATCACAGAGCTTGCGCTACGCGTTGTTGCGACGTGTAGTTACATTTTTTGAGAGGTGCACGTCAGTGACGCTGACGGCCACGGCGAAGGGCTATGCGTCAGCGCCGTAGCATACGCCGGTGTTTGACCAGAAGTTTAAATCAGCCTTTATACTCTCTTCCATTGGTTTTTAGATGTTAAAAGCAGCTCGTGATGCTGCTTTATGTTGCAAACTGATGTTTTCTCATACTATTCTACTTTGTCTATATAGTCACCCTGCTGAAAAATCCAGGTAAAACCAGCCTAGGCCTGCATCTAACCAAACCTCTTCCTGTGCGTGTTTGTGTGTGTGTGTGTCTGCCTGTGTCTTTCTGAATGTGTGGTCAGGCATTTCTGGAGCGCTACCTGACTCCGGGTCCCACCATGCAGTACCAGCGTGAGAACGGCAGGGGGCGGCAGTGGACTCTGGTGAGCGAGGAGCCGGTGACTGCAGCACTACGTCAGGGCCTCGTCTTCTCGCTGCGCCGCCTCGACTTCGCCCTTGTCGTCACGGTGACGCCCCTCCCTTTCCTCAACCTGGGGGAGGAGTTTATCGACCCCAAGAGCCACAAGTTTGTGATGCGGCTCCAGTCGGAAACCTCGGTGTGAGGAGCAGAGACTCTACAGCAGCAGCAGCAGAGGGACAAACCACTCGCTCTTTACTTCTAGATATCACTCTTCCTTTGGTTTTATTATAATTATTACACTACATGAACTACTCGCTGTCGGGGTCACCCCGGACTCCCTAACTGCAATGCATTGTTTTTTTAATTTTGTGAATAACATGATCAAGTACAGTTCCACATATCAGAGTGCTGCACAAACTGGACGATTCACCAGCAGTTCTGCGTTTGCATTAGACACCTGAGCTCGAGGAGCGATGGAAACACTAGGAGACTGTAGCTGATCAACCCCACAGCGATCAAGTGCTTTACTTTATGATGATTGTCTGTTCAAAAAAGCACACCAGAAGCATGTTTGTAACTCTTTTGAGCTCTATATCTGTTGTGAATGTTTTTGAGATGTCGTAAGATGAGCTGTGGCGATGAGTCCAGAAATAATTCTGCATTCGCTCTGAGATTTTTCTAAACACGTTGCGATTGTTTTTATCTTCAGTCGATTCTGAGCTCAGTTTTTATCAACAGATGGCAACAGAAGGCTGTTTAGACTAATCTCATTCAAGCACAAATACATGTCAAGTACATTTGACCACACACAGCACAAGTGCTCTTAACTAGCCTAGAGCACCGCTAGCTGTTAAAAAATAGCCTAGAACGTCACTTTTGTTTAAAACTAGCCTCGAGCATCTAGTCTAGAGCAGCGCCTGCAGTTAAACCCTAGCCTAGTGCATATCTGCTTTTAAAAGCTAGCCTTGAGCGACATTAGTGGTTGAAAAATAACTAGCCTAGAGTGCATCTGCGGTTAAAAACTAGCCTAGAGTGCCATGTTGTAGTTAAAAACTACCCTAGGGCAATGTCTACAGGTAAAAGTAGACTGGAGCATCATCTGCGGTTAAATCTAGACTGGAGTGTCACCTGCGGTTAAAAGCTAGCTTAAAGCACCATTCTGCTGTTAAAACTAGCCTGGAGTGCTATCTTGGTTTAAAGCCTAGAGAGTCATCATCAGTTAAGACTAGTCTAGAGCGTCATCTTCGGTTAAAACTAGCCTAGAACGTCATCTTTGATTAAAACTACCCTAAACATCATCTTCAGTTAAAACTAGGATAGAGTGTCATTATCTTTGTCATCTTCGGTCAAAACTAGCCTAGAGTGTCATCTAAGGTTAACAATAGGCTGGAGCACTCTATGCTGTTAAAAACTAGCTTATAACACTGTCTGCGGTTAAAAATTTGCCTAGAGCGCCATCTGTGGTTTAAACTATCCTAGAGCACAATCTGTGGTTAAAATCTAGCCTAGAGCATCATCTGCGGTTAAAACTAGCCTAAAGTGTCATCTTTGGTTACATCTAGCCTAGAGTGTCGTCATCTTTGGTCAAAACTAGCCTAGAGTGTCATCTAAGGTTAACAATAGGCTGGAGCACTCTATGCTGTTAAAAACTAGCTAATAACACTGTCTGCGGTTAAAAATTTGCCTAGAGCGCCATCTGTGGTTAAATCTATCATAGAGCACAATCTGTGGTTAAATCTAGCCTAGAGCATCATCTGCAGTTAAAACTAGCCTAGAGTGTCATCTTTGGTTAAATCTAGCCTAGAGTGTCGTCATCTTCAGTCAAAGCTAGCCTAGAGTGTCATCTAAGGTTAATAATAGGCTGGAGCACTCTATGCTGTTAAAAACTAGCCTAGAGCCACAACTGCTGTTAAAATCAGCCTAGCGCGCCGTGTTGTTAAAACTAGCTTAGAGCACCATCTGCATTTAAAGTCAGCCTAGAGCTCCATCTGCTGTTAAAGTCAGCCTAGAGCGCCATCTGCTGTTAAAGTCAGCCTAGAGCGCCATCTGCTGTTAAAGTCAGCCTAGAGCGCCGTCTGCTGTTAAAACTAGCCTAGAGCGCCGTCTGCGGTTAAAACTAGCCTAGAGCGCCATCTGCTGTTAAAGTCAGCCTAGAGCGCCATCTGCTGTTAAAACTAGCCTAGAGCGCCATCTGCTGTTAAAGTCAGCCTAGAGCGCCATCTGCTGTTAAAGTCAGCCTAGAGCGCCATCTGCTGTTAAAGTCAGCCTAGAGCGCCATCTGCTGTTAAAGTCAGCCTAGAGCGCCATCTGCTGTTAAAGTCAGCCTAGAGCGCCATCTGCTGTAAAAATCAGCCTAGAGCACCATATGTTGTTAAAGTCAGCCTAGATAGCCATCTGCTGTTAAAGTCAGCCTAGAGCTCCATCTGCTGTAAAAAATCAGCCTAGAGCTCCATTTGCTGTTAAAACTAGCTTAGCCTAGAACGCCATCTGCTGTTAAAATCAGCCAAGAGCGCCATCTACTGTTAAAATCAGCCTAGAGCGCAGTCTGTGGGTAAAACTAGCCTATAGCGCCATTTACAGTTAAATCTAGCCAGAGCGCCATTTACAGTTAAAACTAGCCTAGAGCACCATCTGTGGTTAAAACTAGCCTGGAGTACTATTGTTGTTTAAACTAGCCCAGAGAATCATCTTTAGTTAAAACTAGCCTAAAACGTCATGTTTGGTTAAAACTAGGTTGGAGCGCTCCATGCTGTTTAAAAACTAGCCTAGAGTGCCTTCTGTGGTTAAAACTTGCCTAGAGCACCATCTTCAGTTAAAACTAGCCTAGAATGTCAATTTCAGTTAAATCTAGCCTAGAGAGTCATCTTTGGTTAAAAGTAGCCTTGAGAGACATCTTCGGATAAAACTAGCCTAATCTTCAGTTAAAACTTTCCTAGAACGCCATCTTCGATTAAAACTAAGCAGGAGTGTGCCACGCTGTTTAAAAACTAGCCTAGAGAGTGATCTTTGGTTAAAACTAGCCTAGAGCACCATCTTCGGATAAAACTAGCCTAGAACATCATCTTCAGTTAAAACTTTCAGAGAACGCCAACTTTGATTAAAACTAGGCAGGAGTGCGCTATGCTGTTTAAAAACTAGCTTAGAACTTCATCTGCGGGTAAAACTAGCCTACAACATCGTCTGCGGCTAAAACTAGCCTAGAGTGACGTTTGTGGTTAAAACTAGCCTAGATTGCTGTCTGCAGTTAAATCTTGCCGAGAGCGCCATCTGTTGATAGAGTGCCGTCTGTGGTTAAAACTAAGCTCAGAAAGATTTCAGAGAAAGTCGCGATGCATATGGATCATCTCAGAAGCGATCCAGTAATGGATTCTCATCAGTTGTATCCTCACAGCTGTAGTTGTTTGTATGTTTGCAGTACTTTATACTTTATTACGATCATGACTCGAGGGGCCTTCTATATCATCTGTGTTCTGTACACCAGCAAACTCACTGTCTGAAAAGCATCTTTTTAAAAACGTTTTATCTTCGAAACACTGTCTGTCTCTCACACACACACACACACACACACACGCACACACACACACACACACACACACACACACGACCGATCAAATGTGAGCTTTTATATGAAATGCACAAACATGAATGTGTGCCAAATGTTGAATCTGTGCCTGGCGGCCGGCGCTCCTGTCGGTCCAATCGCTATCGGCCTCGGACAACCAATGAACTTTACTCGTCTACCTTTGGCTCATTGTAGACTCTGCATCCCCTCCACATGTTGTACATAAGTCATTCTTCTTTTATACGCGCGTGGATGTCAGCGAAACAGGATGATGAGGTGATGTGTTGGTGGTTGTTATTTCCAGAACTGAGCAGTTCCTTTTTTTAGGTCTGATGCATGTGGGCGATGCAGTTTTGTACCTTTTTCTTTTGTTGTTTTTTTACTTTATATCATTTTGTATGAGAGTTAAGCTAATCTTTAACATTTTCCCTTTTAAAAGACGGTTTGTTGTAAAGAGATTTGTAGATTTGTTTTGGTTATTGTGTGAAAAACCTTTTTGCAATTGATAATTTTAGAACTAAACATGTTTCAGCCTTCTGTTTTTTAAATAAATGATCTACTCTACGTAGCTTGAAACGTTTATTTGATTGTGTAATGTTGGTGGAGTTGGAGATCTGCGGAATGTGGATGTGTTTTATGTAAAGCTGATGGCTCTAAACCATTTTTTTATTCATATTTTTCTTGGACATCAGTTTTTGAGAAGCTCTTATATCATCAGTTTAGTTTTTAAAAGATATTTAAATCCCTTTTAAGGTGCCGTACAATGGATCTGTACCTGCAGGTTAACTGTTTATATACAGGGGTGGACTGGCCATAGCGAGCACTGGAACATTTCCCGATGGCAGTCAATCATGTATCTGACCTGCCCAACCTCCGACCACAGCACATTATCCCCCACTATTAGCCGGTCGCATTGCTCCCGGGTAGGGCCGGCGCGTCCATAGAACGACCTAGGCGGGCGCCTAGGGCGGCAGTATAGAGAGGGCGGCGTCCGCGACACCTCCCTCACCACCCGCGTCCGCAGATATATTCGCGCATAGACAACAGAATAGAGAGGGCAGCGTCAGCGACACCTCCATCAGCACCTGCATTACCTCAGTTATTTCCACGCATAGGGCGGCAGAATTGAGGTCCGTGACACCTGCGCATTCTCAGTTATATCCGTGCATAGGGCGGCAGAATAAAAAGCGCAGTGTCCGCGACACCTCCCTCCCTTCCTCAGCACCAGCGCGTCCTCAGTTATATCCGCGCATAGTGCGCCGGAAAAGAGGTCCGCGACACGTCACTTCATTTTCATAACCGGTCACTTTCGTTTTTACATTGGGGTTGAGGGCGGCGTGATCGTCCTCTGCCTAGAGCGGCAGTACAGCTTGCTCCGGCCCTGCTCCCGGGTGAAAATACTGTACGAGTCCTCCAATGTTTATATAATATAACTTTTAAAAACTTTATATAAAACTATTAAAAGCTAGCCAGTTTCTGTGCCTGACCATCGGGTTATCGTGGTCCTAACCTTTTACCTTCACCCGTTCCGCAATAAAACGGCTCCCCCTGCAGGTGGTGGGCCTGCGGGAGGATGGTCCCATGCTGCTCCTTCAGGCTAAGCCCGGCTGTGTTCCGTGGGAAAAAACCCATATGAGCCCCAACCCCAGGCCTGGCTCCAGGGTGAGGCCCTGACTGTGCCATACCAGGCCACGTCACGGTCCTTGATGTTTTTGTAGTCATGAGTGATTTTTGAATCGCACTAAGTCTGACCTGTTACCTTTTTGACCCTACCAGGGGCATTAGCCCCCAACTACATTGCTCCTAGGATCACTCAGGAACTCAAACACCCCTCCATCACGCTAAGATAATGGTTCATGGAGGAGGTCTTGGATACAAGCGGCCGCAATGAGTTTCCTTCACAGGGT